CCACACTAACAATTATCTCTGCAATTTTATTGCCAAGAAGTCCTGTTCTTTCCACATTCCTACTCTGCTTCTGAAACCTCTCTCTCCGCTGCCCACTGCATGACTCTCCCCACTCACGCTGCCTTTGTGCTCCTTCTAACTTCTGCCCCATGTTCCTATCCAGCATCACCTCCCATCCCTCCCTCATACAGACTCTTCCCTGGAGTCAGGCTGGCCCCTCCCTGGCGCAGCCCTGCATGGAGTGCTTTCTAGCTTCTGGATCTTTGTCCCTGAGCCCTTCGCTCCACCTCATGTGGCCTCCTTAGTTGCTCAGGGCACAGTTTACTGATCATTAACCATCACTCAGGACACTCAATGTGACTTCATGGTAGTTCATATTGGGCAGACGGGGAAACATCTCAAAAGGACAAATCTGGTCGGGGAAGGCTGGTCAAACCCAGGCTTCCCATTCTTGTCCTCTGCATGTGTGATTTAGAATCAATGTCTAGGAATGTTTTTGATTCTAAACACTTAATTTTGTTAGGTCCTTTTATCTCTCTTTCTCAGAATACTAAGTCTTCTTAAGCTTATACTTTTAATATTCTTTGCATTTTCAGAAGAAAACAAAAAACATCTCAAACTTCTGAAACACTGTACATATTATTAGCTGAGCAGGTGGGGAAAAGTCCTAATAAGAGATCAAGTTATGATTTAGATTGTATTCTCGCTGATTCTACTGTGACTTTCCCTGAAGCGAGAGCATGGGTGGAGCACATCAATTCTGGCACCACGACTGGGATCACAGCTGTGCACAGTACAGACTCTTCACAGGTTATCATCGGAACCCACACACAGATGCCTCCTGGTGTAATTGAGACAGCGCATTCATGCATCTCAGCCTGTCTGCATGGATGAATGTGGCCTCTCCTGGCTTATGTTTCATGATGCCCTGGCAGAGCCGGCCCATATCACAGGCGTCTCACTTCTGAGACATGTGTCTGAGCATTTCCCTTCCTCATCCTGGCAGCCTGGTCCTGACTGGGGTGTTCCTGAGACAAAGCCCAGTAACTTTACAAGGGCTCCAACACTGCCATGTTGAGAGCAGAAACCCAAGTGATATAAGGTAGGAACAGACCAGCACCTTTCACCCCTTGAGAAATTTTCCAGTAAGCACCTTCTGGAGTTGTAGGTCCCCCTGGGGGGACTGGAGGAACCACTGGTTCTGCTCACAAAGTGCACCAAGGTGTTTATCACTGGGTTACATGTGTCAGGGAATATAGGAGTTCTTTGTACCAGACCAGCAAATTTTCTGTTTCAGCTTGAAATCATTTCCAACAAATTTGCTACAAAGGGAAAAATCTTGAGCACCCATCCTAGCCAGTCTCTGAGAGATCCCACTGCAGAGAAATGAGAGCAACCGCACCATGGAGTCAGGCAGACATGGGGCCCATGTTCTCACTGTGACTGGTCGGGGCATCCTGGGCAAGCAAAGGGACCTTGCTGAGCCTCAGCATCCTCAGCTCTAACATGGAGATGCCACTGCCCACTAGGAGTGCCCCTTGAGCACTGTATGGATTATAGCAAGGACAGAGCTTGCTTGGCCAAGGGCAAGGTGTACAACAGGTGGAAGGGTGATGTGTATTTTACTTCGTTTTATGAATTGCTGTGATCCCACAAAAGCCTTTGCTTCTTTGAAACTGAAGGAGAAATGAAACACAGGAAAGAGGATGGTTCCAGCAGGAAAGGTGCTTACTGACCAAAATAGAATGGAAGACAAAAGTTTCAGTCACTACTCTCATTACAACATATTCAGATGGGGGACATCTCAGAGTTATTTGCTCTTCCTACAAGAGTTTTGATAGGTAAAACTACTAACAATCCACATGAAATTCCCAGAATAATGGTATAAAAACCAGAACGAGTGAGAAGAAAATTGTTTTTTTTTTTCCTTACACACCCTATGAAACTGCAACCTCAAGGGGCACTTGCTCACAGGAAGGGTTTGCTGGAGATCATGGGCATGAGAACCACTGCGCTTTGCTCATCGGTTAGGCCAGCACCTGATCAGGGACACTAGTTGTTGATGGTTTACATGAGAACATAGCACTGAGACGACACATGATTGAAACCACAAACCCACACATAAAAGAAACCACGGGGGCTCTACAGAGGATGCAAGCCATGGCAGGCATGGAGGAAGGGACGCTAACTGCTTCAGTGGAGGGAAGCCATCTCAGAGGAGGTAGTAGAGAATCTGGCTTGAAACACAGGAATCATGAAACAGCCTCCAAAATAAGGGGGGAAAACTGCCAGCACAGGTGGATGGCCAGAGAAGAGAGGAGGGCGCTGTGTGATGTGAAGCGTGCTGCTCAACATAATGTCTGAAAAGAGAGATGCCCTATCTTAAGGAATGAAGTCTGTTATACAAAATTCTCCAGGTGAGCTGTTGCGGCCAAGAGTATGCAGTGATCCCTCATCATTCCCCTCTCTGAACTGTTTTGATACCTACAGCCTGATCTTGTGAGAAGGAGTGAGTGACAGAGGAATCACCTGGCACAAGAGAAGGCGGTTCTACCCATTGAATGTCTGAGCTTAAAACTGGATCCAAGAACCAGATTCAAAACACTCTGAATTTACAGGGGCTGCCTGCAGCGATAATCCATCTCAGCTGCACAAGTTACAGGAAACAGAATATATAGAGGCTGCCTGGGAGAATAGTAGAGCTTTGTGACCTTTGGGCTGGAGTACTCACAGGCTACATCCAGAGCAGGCAGGCGAGCTGATCCTCCAATGAGCACACGTGCTGCTGTAAGGCTGCTGCCAGTCAGACAGGTCAGGGGGAAGTGAAGGAATCAAGTAAACTTCATCCAGGGAGTCCTGCGGGACGTCCTGCTCCTCCACCTCTGGCAGCTCTGAGCTCAGTCTGGTGGATGAAGAACACAGAAGATAAACACCGGAGGGAAGAGAAACCACAGTGCCCAACTGGTTCTACAGAGAGTCTGACAGGAGATGCCAGAGGAAGCAAAAAACAGTCCCCTCAGGCAGAGAATGATCCTTCTCTGTCTCCAGCAGGAGAGAGAACAGCAGGTGCTCAGTGTCCTGGGTAGACAGTGAGCTGGAAAGGAAGGAGACGGAACGATTCCTGTACCAAAGAGCTATGACATGGCACACGCAACAGGCCCCTGTGTCTTCGTAGACTGATAGAGTTACTGGGACCTCAACATCTCTTGTTCTCAAAATTTTGGCATGATATGAATTATTTGTATTCACATTCCTGCTCTCAGATATTTGCAAATATAATGGCAAAGAGGGAGACATCAGATGAGCATCTCAAGTTCACTTTAAGCCAAAAAGGCAGAAAGGGAAACTGCAGAAAACGTGATTGATCAGTTCAACAAAGTCAACTGAATAAAGATTAGTACAATTTTGAAGGAATTAACAAGAGAAACAAATACAAATACAGGTGTAAAATGAAAAGAGGCAACTTTATTAATATTGTACCAATAATATTAATATTAACTAATAATCCTGTTTAATAATTATTCCACACTGATAATCTTAACACGACTAATATGGCGATTTCATGGTTGGCTGAATGAATGGATAGGTATGTTCCGTTTTCCCTGTATCTGGCATCTCCAGGTATCAACAATAAATTAAATGTCTGCAATTGCTCAAAGTTACCTGGGGCATGGTGGGTCTTGGTCTTCTTCTTCTTCTTGATTTTTTTCAATGTCTGCAACAAAGTGGACAGGGACAGACACATTAAGTCTATTCCTCTATTCATGCAACAATCCACCATCAACCCTAAAGCAGGAACATCTGTCTCCTCAGCATGGGAAGAGAACTCTGTGAGAGACATACTCCAGGAGGCCTGAGGGCCAGACGTGATACAGATTCCTTGGTTTTCATCTCTGAACCTAAGGGTGAAATGTCCCCTGTTCTGGTAGATCATTATCCCAGTATCATCTGTCCCGAGTTTGTGCCAACGGTTACGCAATATTTTCCCTATTAATTCAAAGCAAACACCCAAAATAATTTCTGGAAAAAAAAAACTGCAGTATTCAGCCCTGTCTCATCAAATACCCAGCTTGTTCACAAAGGTGAGGATTTTAGACACTGAAATTACAACGAGGGAGAAAATCAATAAACCCTTGACTCAAAAATAAGTCTTTAGCCGGGCGTGGTGGCTCAAGCCTATAATCCCAGCACTTTGGGAGGCCAAGACGGGCGGATCACGAGGTCAGGAGATCGAGACCATCCTGGCTAATACGGTGAAACCCCGTCTCTACTAAAAAAAATACAAAAAACTAGCCGGGCAAGGTGGCGGGCGCCTGTAGTCCCAGCTACTCGGGAGGCTAAGGCAGGAGAATGGCGTGAACCCAGGAGGCGGAGCTTGCAGTGAGCTGAGATCCGGCCACTGCACTCCAGCCTGGGTGACAGAGCGAGACTCCATCTCAAAAAAGTAAAATAAAATAAAATAAAATAAGTCTTTGGTTCTATAAAAAAAATTGGTTATTCATGGCATCAAAAAGTGACAAGGCTCAGTCCTGCTTCCAAAACCAAAACAAAAGGTAACAGACACATCAGTTAAAAAAGCAGACGTTGAAGATACAAAGAATGGGGTTAGGTTAATTAAAATTAGGGTACCACCTTTGCAAGAGCTGTACACAAAGATGACATTGACCTTAAGCAGATGTAGAAGCTCAGAGACTTGCCTACAAAATTAAATCCCTGAGGAACTTTGTAGCTACCCAGAGAGATGTGGTTCAAATTAGAATGTCTGACAGATCACTCCCAGCATGTGCTGCATAGTTATGTGAATGTGTCACACCTAACTTGGGTCCAGTGTCTTCAGACTGAGCACAGGTTGCCACTGCATAGTCTGAGAATAGAAATAGAGCCATGCCCACTGATCCATCCTATGTCTGGGCTTCCAAATGGAACTAGAGTTTCATTCAAACCTACATGTGCCTATAGGTCCTGCCTGTGGCAACATCTCTCAGTTCAGTAAGGGCTGCTCAGTGCAGGAATATGACCCCTATCCGGAAGACCAGGTGGAGCCTTATCACCTTCACAGTAAGGAACCTACTGATCACGTAAAGAGCCAAGCCAACATGCTGTTCCTCCAATGAGTAAAAGGCACTTCTGTAGGGCTGGCATGAGTCAGGCAGTTCAAGATAACTGGAAGGAGTCGAATAACATCTATCCAGTGAGTACTGCAAGACTTCAGGCTCTTCCCCTTCCAGCAGCTCCCTGCTGAGCCTGGAGAAGTAGGAAAAACTAAAGAGTCAGCCAGGGAAAATCAGACACCATAGAGCCCCAGGTAGATTTCATGAGTAGCATAAGGAAGTGGTTATAAAAAGAAAAGGATAGATCCATTAATGAGGTAACAAATTATTGGCTATATGTTGGGAGAGAACAGGGCCAAATGGAAAAGGATGAAAGAGAAAGACAGACAGTGAGAGAGGCAGACAGAGAGAGAGAGAGAAAGAGAGCTCAGTGAATTGTCCAGGTGACACACTGATGAAGGAGTAACAGGACACTTTGAGTTAGTGCTCTAAGGACACACAGCATGCAGTGATCATGAAAAGAATGCACTCAATAATTTTCCATAAAATGTGCTCAAGTTTCCATGCAGTCACCATGAGAATACAGCTTTTGAAGTATGGTCAACCTACGGTAAGTTAGTAAATGATAAGGGGAGGAAGAAATGGAAACCTAAATATCTACTGCCATGAAAATCAACAGCAATGGTTAGGAATAATTCAGGCTTGGTTGAAAAGATGTAATCGATATTGTCAGCCTGCTCTGTTTTCCCTGAACCAGGAGTCTCCAGGTGTCAACACAGAATTAGCTGTTCACAATTGCTCAAAGTTACCTGGGGCATGGTGGGCTTTCGTCTTCTTCCTCTTCTTGGTCCTTTTTAATTCCTGCAATACATTTAGACAGGGACAAACAAAATAAGCCAATTCACCTACACCCATAACACTCTACTGTCTAATCCCCACACAGGGACCTCAGGCTCCTCAGCATGAGAAGAGGACAATGTGAGAGACATACTTCAGGAGGCCTGAAAGCCGGTCATGATAGAGGTTCTTTGGTTTGCATCGCTGAACCAAGGGTGAAATGTCTGCTATTTCTATTCTGCTAGATCATTATCCCAGAATCATTTATCCCAAGTTTGTGGAAACAGTTATGCCTTACTTTTCCCATCAATTCAAAGCAAATGTCCCAGATTATTTCTAGAAGGAAAACTGCAGTATTCAGCCCTGTCTCATCAAATACCCAGCTTGTTAATGGTTGCAAGAATTTTAGATGCTGAAATTAGAATGAAGGAGGAAACCTACAAACCCTTGAGTCCAAATCACAGTTCTGTGAATTTTTTACATCTGCCTGGGTCCAATGTGCTAAGAGTGGGCTCGGGTTGCCACAGACATGGCTGGAGACTAGGAGTAGAGCCATGCTCACTGGCCCATCCTATGTCTGGGCTTCCAACTGGAACTAGAGTTTCCTTATAACCTACATACACCTATAGGTCCTCCCTGTGGCAGTGACATCTCTCAGCTCAGTAAGGGCCACTTAGAGCAGGAATATGACCCCTTCCGGAAGACCAGGTGGAGACCTATTACCTTCATAGTAAGGTACTCACTGTCCCCGCCAAGAACCAAGCCAACATGCTGTTTTTCCAATGAGTAAAAGGCACTTCTGTAGGGCTGGCATGAATCAGGCAGTTCAAGATAACTGGTAGGAGTTGAATAACATCTATCCACTGAGTCATGCAAGACTTTAGGCTCTTGCACTTCCAACAGCTCCTTGCTGAGCCTGGAGAAGTAGGAAAAACTAAAAGGTAAGCCAGGGAAAATCAGAAACCACAGAGCCCCAACTAGATTTCATGGGGCATAAGGAAGTGGTTAAAAAAGAAAAAGGATAGATCCATTAATGAGGTAACAAATTATTGCCTTTATGTTGGAATAGGCCATGGCTGGGTAGGAAAGGATGAAAGAGAAAGAGAGAGAGAGAGACTGAGAGAGAGAGAGAAAACGAGCTCAGTGAATTGACCAGTTGACACATGATGAGGGAGTAACAGGACACTCTGAGTTAGTGCCTGCATGACACACAGCGAACAGTGATCATGAAAAGAGTGGGCTCAACAATTTTGCATAAAATGTGCTCAAGTTTCCATTCAGTCACCATGAGAATACAGCTTTTGAGGTTCGGTCAACCTACTGTAAGTTAGTAAATGATAAGGGGAGGAAGAAATGGAAACCAAAAGGTCTACTGCAATGAAAACCAACAGCAATGTCAGTAGGAGGAATTCAGGCTTGGTTGAAAAGATGAAATTGAACACACTCTGGTTTCCCTGGACCTGGCATCTCCAGGTGTCAACACAGAATTAAGCGTCCATAATTGCTCAAAGTTACCTGGGGCATGGTAGGTTTTGGTCTTCTTCCTTTTCTTGGTACTTTTCAATTTCTGCAATAAGTTCAGACACGGACAGACACATTAAGCCAATTCCCCTACACATGTAACAATCCACTGTCTATCCTTACACAGGGACCTCAGTCTTCTCACCATGAGAATAAGGCACTGTGAGAGCTATACTTCAGGAGGACTGAAGGCTGGTCATAATGGAGATTCCTTGGTTTTTGTCCCAGAAACTACAGGTAAAATGTCCCTATTCTGGTAGATTGCTATCCCAATATCATTTGTCCCAAGTTTGTACAAATGGTTACGCAGTATTTTTCCAATCAATTTAAAACAAATGCCCCCAAATGATTTCTAGGAGAAAAACTGTTTCATCAAAAACTCAGCTTTTTCATGATTGAAAAGATTTTAAACACTGAAATTAGAGTAAAGGAGGAAATCTACAAAATCTACAAAATTGAGTCAAAATCATAGTTGTGTGAATTTGTCACATCTGCCTGGGTCCAGTGTCTTGAGAGTAGGATCAGAGTGCCACAGGCATGGCCTGCGACTACGAAGACAGCCATGCTCACTGACCCATCCCATATTTGGGCTTCCAGGTGGAACTAGAGTTTCATTCAAACCTACATGTGCCTATAGGTCCTCCCTGTGGCAATGACATCTCTCAGCTCAGTAAGGGCCACTTGCAGCAGGAATATGACCCATATCCAGAAGACTCAGTGGATCCTTATCACCTTCATTGTAGGGTCCTCACTGTCCACCTCAAAAGCCAAGCCAACAAGCTGTTCCTCCAATGAGTAAAAGGCACTTCTGTAGGGCTGGTAGGAGTTCAGCAGTTCAAGATAACTGGAAGGAGTCGAATAACATCTATCCAGTGAGTACTGCAAGACTTCAGGCTCTTCCCCTTCCAGCAGCTCCCTGCTGAGCCTGGAGAAGTAGGAAAAACTGAAGAGTAAGCCAGGGAAAATCAGACACCGCAGAGCCCCAGCTAGATTTTATGGGTAGCATAAGGAAGTGGTTACAAAAGAAAAAACATAGATCCATTAATGAGGTATCAAATTATTGCCTTTATGTAGGAATAGACCATGGCTGGGTAGTAAATGATGAAAGAGAAATACAGAGAGAGAGAGAAAGAGAGACAGACAAAGAGAGCTTAGTGAATTGTCCAGGTGACACACTGATGAGGGAGTTAAAGGACACTCTGAGTTAGTGCCCTCAGGACACACAGTGAACAGTGATCATGTAAACAGTGGGCTCAATAATTTTCCATAAAATGTGCTCAAGTTTCCCTGCAGTCACCATGAGAATACAGCTTTTGAGGTATGGTCAACATTCACTAGGTTAGTAAATGATAAGGGTAGGAAGAAATGGAAACCTAAACATTTACTGCAATGAAAAGCAACAGCAATATTAGTAGGAGTAATTCAGGCTTGGTTGACAAGGTGAAATCGTTATTTTCAGCATATTCTGTTTTCCCTGGACTTGGCGTCTCCAGGTGTCAACACCAAATTAACTGTCCACAATTTCTCAGACTCACCTGGGACATGTTGCCTCTCAATCCTCCTTTTACACTTGATCACACTGATGTCCTGCAAATAAATTCAGATGGGGCCTCTTACATTAAGCAGTTCTTCCTTACACACAGAAACAATCCTCTGTCCAATCCTAACACAGGGCCATCAGTCTTCTCAGTGTGAGAACAGGAGACTTTGAGAGAAATATACCAGGAGGCCTGAGGTCAAGTCTTGAGAGAACTGACTTGGTTCCTTTCATGAGCCTTGGGCAAAATTCCCCTGTTTTGGAATGTTATCTTCCCAATGTGCTCTGTCCTAGGAGTGTGTACACAAATGAGCAATTTTTTCCCCCAATAGATTGTAGGCAAATAGTTCTAACACCTCGTAGGAGAGATACTTCAATATTAAGGTTTCTCTCATCAAATACCCAGGATTTGATACTTTACGAGATTGTGGACACTGAGATTTGATGAAGGGGTGCAATGTACCAGCTCTTGAGTCAAAATAAGACTTGGTTCTACACAGAAGCATCAGCTATTATGGCTTTTGTGAGTGAAAAGTCGGCTGTTTATGTAGAAAACATACTAGCAAGAAGATGGACAGATGAGCTAAAACAAGCCAACTTAGAAGACACAGAAAATGGGGATGAATTCAGTGAAACCTGGGTCACATCTTCCACTAAGAGGTAGACAAGGGTGACACTGGCCTTGGGCAGGTAGAGAACCGCAAAGACATGCTTGGGGAACGAAACTCATAAGGAACTTTGTAGCTGGCAAGAGACATTTAATTCAGATGAGCTGATCTGACAGACAACTCCTGGGCATGTGCTGCAGAGCTTGGTGTGAGTTTGTCACACCTGCCTTGAGTTCAATGTCCTGACAGTCGGTCAAGGGTGCCATGGGCATGGCCTGAGACTAGGAAGAGAGCAAAGCCCACTGACCCACCCAATGCCTGTGCTTCAGACTCAACTCCAGAGTGATTGAAATCTACACTGATATATAGGTTCAGCCCACAGTGATGGCAACTCTCAGCCCAACCAGGGGCACAAGGCCCAAAGATTATGGGGTCCACCTGGGACACGAACTGGAGCTTTATCACCTTCACAATGGAGTACTCACTGCCTATGTCAAGAGCCAAGCCGACTTGCTGTTCCTCTAATGAGTGAAACGTGTTCTTGTAAGACTGGTACGAGGCAGACATGTCAGGAGGAATTGAGAGAGTCAAATAACCTTCATCCCAGGACTCCTGGGGGGCTTCCTCCTCTTCAGACTCCTGCAGATTCCTGATGAGCCAGGCAGGACAGAGATGACAGAAGATTAAACCAACAAAGACTAGACAACAAAGCCTTTCAGCTGATCCAATGGGAAACAGAATCGAGTGATCACAAAAAGCAAAGGCATTTTTCCTTCAAGAGAAAAAAAGCTATCCTTCTAAATGCAGGGTGGAAAGTGACTGTCTTGGGGAGAGATCGAAAATGTGCTGGTCATGCTCAGTGCATTTGCCACAGATGAGCCACTGCAGAGCACCCAGACTCTCCCTGTAAACTACCATCATGACTTGCAGCACAGAGAACTGACACAGGACTTTAACTACTTTACATAAATTATGTTGAATTTTACATGCATCATTCAAGTGAACAGAGCTCTTGAGGCAGTGCAGACATACAGCCTGTGTATTAAGGGCCTCCTTTTTCCAATATTTTGATATATGTTTATTTTCTGAATTTCTTCTCTTGCACAGATACTAGCAAACATACTAACAACAAATGGGCAGAAAGCATATATGCATCTCTCCCTGGATTTAGACACGTGGGAGAGAACAGGCAACACCAGGAAATCCCTGTTTGGTTAGTTCACCTGGCTCATCTGATTGCAGGTTCCTGTCTTGAGAGGACTACAAAATTAAAACCAATACAAGTGCCATGAATAGCCCCCAACAGTGTTAATAAGGACAATTTGTAGCTGGGTGAATGGAAGAAATAGTTCTATTCATCACTTCCTTGTTTTCTCTGGATCTGCAGTCTCCAAGTGTCACTATTGAAGTAACAGCCCACAATTCCACAGTGTTACCTGGGAGACACTGGCCCTTCTTCCTCTTCCTCATGATCACTTTGATTTTCTGTAAATAAATTCAGAGAAGCAGGTCGCATTAAGCAAATCACACTTCACATATGACCAAATCAGTGTCCAGTCATAGCACAAGGAAATAAATATTCTCAGTGCAAGAATATGGAATTTGACAGGAATGTTCTAGGGTGCCCTAGATTAAGTCTGGTGTGAAGTAGATGAGCCTCCTTTCCAGACCCACAGGCCAAAATCTCCCTCTATGGGTAGACCATAATGCCATATTCCCTGCCTGAGTCTATGCAAGTTAAACAAATTTTTTTCCCAAAAAAATCTCCCAAAATTGGTCAAGCTACTTTCTGAGAGTGTTGCTGCAATACTGACTTATCTCACCAGATAACATGGTCATTGAATGTTTAAAGGCATCTATATATGAGACTGGACTGATGGATGAATTCTAACAACTCTGTCTTAAAAAATAATCTGCGATTTGGAAGGCCAAGGTGGATGGATCACTTGAGGCCAGGAGTTCGAGACCAGCCTGGCCAACATGGTGAAACCTTGTCTCTACTAAAAATATAAAAATTAGCCAGGCATGGTAGTGTGCACCTCTGGTCCCAGCTACTCAGGAGGCTGAGGCAGGAAAATTGCTTGAACCCAGGAGGCAGAGGTTGCAGTGAGCCAAGACTGTGCCACTGCACTCCACAGCCTGGGTGACAGAGTGAGACTCTGTTTCAAAAAAAAAAAAAAATCTGTGATGCTACAAAGAAACATTGGCCATTGATGGGGTGGAGAACTCAGGGCCCAGCCTATGGAGACATATCAGCAAGGTAAAGAATAAATGTTTCCATCCTGGTTTCAAGGTGACTGTGCAGCTAAGCAAGCTGACTTAAAGGAGATCAAGACTGAAGCTGAGAACAGTAAAACTGGGGGAACAATATCTCCAAATAAAAGGCAAGGCTGCCAGTTTCCTTAAAAAGGCATAAAAACTCCATGGACTTTGTTCAGGGACAGATGACATAATGACAGATGATGAGAGATATTGGATCCAAGCTAGAAGGCTTGATAGATACCTCCTGTATACCTCCTGGACAAAGGTGACTATGAGTTTGTCCCAATTGCCTGGGGTCCATGACACTGGGGACAGGGAGACAGGGCTGAGGAGGAGAGGAAAACTCCCTAAACCACCTGATATCTGTATTTAGTACCCCATCCTAATTTCTGATTCAAACCAATTTGTTTGTATAGAGCTCTTTTTCAGAGTTGATCTTCCTCAGCCTAGACAGAGGTATGAGGGGGAGAGAATATAGAGTCTACCTGGGAGAATGTGTAGAGCATCCTCCCATTCATTATGAGAGGATTCACTGTCTATAACCAGTGTAGAGTCGACTTTGTCTTCCTCAAATGTGGTTTTGGTGTTCCTGTGTGGCTGGTTGGAGTCAGAAGGGCTGTGGCTATTTGAACAAGTGATGGCACATTCCTCTAGTGAGTCCTCAGGGACTTCCTTTTCTTCAGCCTTCAGCACCTCCCTGATGAGCCAGTGGGGAGAGAGATGACAAAAGATTAAACACAGAGAAATTGGACCCTCAGTTGGACCCAGGGAGTCCTAGCCAGTTTTGACAGAGGTATAAGAGAATTGTCCCAAAAAGCAAACGGGTGGCTCCCTGTAAGAGGGAACAGGCACTCCTCCTTTTTCTGCAAGAGATTGTGGATGCCATGGGAGCCAAAGAGGAAGGGAACAGCTGGTGTTCATTGCACTGGGAAGATAGGAGCTGAGGAGGACGGAGGCTCAGCTATCTCTGTGTGTGCAGACATGACACACACAGAGAAACATACGTGGAGAACCATAACAGCTGCTACACTGTGTGCCAAAGCTGGGTTGCATTTAAATACTGTGACCAAGGGAATACAGGCTCTTGAGCCACTGTAGGCTTCAGAAATGGTGTGCCTTCTGGGTCTTCTTAAAAAAATAATATGTGAAATGTACAATTTTTTTCTAGGTACTTCTCTTGATGTTTACAGTTTCTAGAAACTTCCTAAATAATTCCTCTGCTTTTTACCTCTTTACTATTTTTTTGAGACACATTCTCGCTCTGTCACCCAGGCTGGTGTGCAGTGGCATGATCTCGGCTCACTGCAACCTCTGCCTCCTGGATTCAAGCGGTTCTCCTGCCTCAGCCTCCCAGGTAGCTGGGACTACAGGTGCCCCCCACCACACCTGACTAATTTTTGTATTTTTAGTAGAGATGAGATTTTGCTATGTTGGCCAGGCTGGTCTGAAACTGCTGACCTCAGGTGATCCACCCACCTTGGCCTCCCAAAGTGCTGGGATTACAGGTGTGAGCCACCGTGCCTGGCCCACCTCTTTGCTATTTATCTTTCTTAACAAGAACCTGAAGACAATCATGTAGAAAGCAGCTTTGCATCTCCTCCTGGTTTTCATTACAGGAGAGAACAGTTCTCCTCTGTGAGTGCAGGAAGTCCCTAGGGCTGGTGACTTCATCCAGGGTCATGCTTACAAGGCCCATGAAGACAATGGACCAGGCCTATTTCCTTGTTGGGTGAGCACATGAAATCAGTGCACTCTGCAGCTTTCTTTATCCTGCATCTGGAATCTGTGACTACCTTCAACTCCCTCATATTCTAAGACCTTTTCCATGGTTTATCCACCCACTACCTGCTCCTGATTGTTCAGTGTAACCTGGGGACAGGTGATGCTTGTACTTTATGAATCTCCTCATCTTTATCATTTTCACTATCACCTTCATCATTCTCTGCAAACCAATACAGAAGTTTCCATTTAGATATTCCTCACTTCACACACTGCAAGCACAGTGAGCCCTATGTGCACAGAGACATGAACATCTATGCATGGGTCAGTGTTGGACTGAAAGCTCTCATGTTTTATCTTTAATAAAATGCCCTGGCATGGTTTCCTGATCCATCAGGCAATGCATTTCTGATCTGGAGGGTCACCATCAAGCTGTGGTCAAATATTGAAAAGATGTTTTGGTCCCCATATCACTGGAGGCTTGTCCAGCATCTTTCTGGACTTTGGCAGCTGTCTCCCCCATCCCGCCACAGATCTGATTCCCAGGCACGGGCTTGGTGTCCTGTCACAGCTCTCATATTTAGAATCTATTTCTTTCTCTTAGGGGAGGACAAACAACCTTATCCCACCTTTCTTCATGCATTGGGAGGCTTCACAAGCCCTCCAAGTTGGCTTCTGCTGTGTTATTCAGGGACATTCTCTCCATGGGGAGTGCTCCAGTCTGAAGCCCTTCCTACCACCAAATGCCCCCACATCAAGTGCCTTCTCCAACACCACACGGCGAGGGGCTTCATCTCATTTTGAAAGGTAATCATAAGTGTTCCCATATTTGAATGCTGTATCTACCATTGAAGAGACAATTTGACCTCTTTGCAGGTTTAGACAAAGAAATCCAGAAAGGATAAATCAATCACTCACCCACGGTTACTAAGGACATTGCTGAAGATACAGCCTGGGAACCTTCATTCTTAGTCCTGGACTCTTTTTACTCTAACAACTTGCCTTCTGTCATAGCCTCCTTCCTGTCCTTTAAAACTGAATGGATATGGCCTCTTGCTCCAAAGACATGACTGTCAAGGAGGAGGAGACATTTGCAATACTGTGACCTCTAACCCCATGGACTTCTTACCTCTGTTTCTATCCAGGAAGTCCTGGTCATGTCATGGCCATATATGTTTAATGGAAAGAAACACCACCAATATAACTGTCATTGTGAAGGTATGGAGGTGTAGAGTCTCTCATAAGCCTGGGCTTTGTGTCATCAGGGCCTGTGGTCACCTTACCTGGGCTGAGCTTGTGGACAAAGTGCTCTGCCAGCCTGCTCTCAGAGGTCCTGCCCCTGGGAGTTGTCAGAATCATCAGGAGTGAGGAGGACCTTGAGATGCTGATTCAGTGAGAGGAAGGCGTGTCTCCCTTCCTGTAACATGTCCTGTAACTGGGCCAGCTCTCAGGTCTGAGAGTGAACAGAGACTTTATATTGCCTAAGGTGGAATAGTAGAGAAAATTTAATAGTGGAAAGGGATGAGTGATCCGTTCTAATATTGCAACAAAGGAGCACTCCATGCAGAAAGTCAGTACATGTTAAGGGAAATGCCTGTGGCAAAGGAAAGAAAAATATATTTTTTAAATTAAAAACAGGTCTTCCCCTCTGCAATAGAGAGAGAGAGCTCCAGGAAGATTTTTCAGCATTCCATTCATCTTTTTCTTCTGTAACCAAATGAGTTCCAAAAGGATTTTCCTTCGATTTCTCATTTTGGTTGTGGACATTTTCATGTTAAAATACACATAGTGCATTATTCAGTGACTGGACACAAAGCCGTGCACAGAAATGTGGCCAGGTACAACTGGAAAGATGAGAAAAGAAAAGAATGACAGGGTCGAGAAGGCAATATTGATTGAACAAATGAGAAGCCCAAGTCAGTCAGGAGGTGATTCTGACTAAGAGTAAATGCAGTGGTGATCGCACAGCATTTTGAGTATACTAACTGCTGCTGGGTAGTTCACTTTCCTTTGGTTACTTTTGTGTTATGCAAATTTCACCTCAACAATTACTTGTTTGAAAAAGAGAAAACGAGGCAACCCATAACTTACTATTATTTTCTCTGTTTTATAAATATTTGTGTGACATGTGCCTGCCGTGGCAATTCCTGCCCTTCCCCTGGCCCAGCTTAGCTCTTACTTCTCCCCGCTGAGCTGCTGTACAGAGATTCACACACCTGCCCACCTGCCTGCCCCCACGGGGCCCCCTCAGCTGAGCTCCTCCGCTTGCCTGAGCTCCTCTGCCAGCTTCTCCTCCTTGAACTTTAGTTCATCCCTCAGCATAGATTTTATCAGGTCTTCGCACTCTTCATATTCTAAGACAGACACGCCTGCCTCAGTGGAAGGCTGGACATGCTGCTGTGGTCACTGCCTACAGGGCAGGAGCCAGGTCCATGCCAAGGACAAAACTGTCCCTAGTTCCAGGCTGTAGGTAGGGATGTCCACATCTTTACTCTTCAGCCTCCTGACTTTCTGGCATCTGATACTCCCTACTTAGATACAGGAAAAAAGAAGCTCAGGGGCACATTAAGCAACTTGACAAGATGATTCACCTGGAAGGAGGCAGGGTCAGAATTCACAGCCCCTGAGGTCTGACTCTGAATCATGGGATGCTTTCCCAAGGCTTGCAGCCTCTGCTGCACTGGGGAATGAAGTGGTGATTTTCTGTACAGCTAGGAAGGCTTCTAGGGCTGTGAGACTGCGAAAGGAAAATATCCTGGGCCCCCAAAATCACTAAGGAAAACTCAAGCTGGGAACTGCTTAAGGCAAACCTGCCTCCCATTCTATTCAGTCACTCCTCTGCTCACTGAGATAGATACATATCCGATTTGCCCCCTTTGGAAAGGCTAATCACATACTCAAAATAATGTAACCATTTGTGTGTCACCTATCTGTGACCGGGAAGCTCCCTTCCCTGGTAGCTCCCTCTCCACTTTGAGTTTTCCTGCCTTTGCTTCAAGTTTTCCTGTCTTTCCAGACAGAACCAATTTACCTCTTACAAATATTGATTGATGTCTCACATCTCCCAATGTATGAAACTAAGCTATGCCCCGACCACCTTGGGCACATGTCGTCAGGTCTTCCTGAGGCTATGTCCTGGCGCATCCTCAACCTCGGCAAAATAAACCTTCCAAATTAACTGAGACCTGTCTCAGATTTGTTGGGTTCACATTTTGGTAACCACTACTGGGGGATTCTGAGTGGAGATGCCCCTGACCTTTGACACATGTGTCAGTGCTTGGTACCAGCATGAACTAACTTTATGGCTCAAGCCAACACGACAATTTGCTGAGGTCTGAGAGCAGCCCCTCCAGAGAATCCTTGGTCTACCCAAATTTGGTCGAGATCTTAAATTTATTTTACTGTACAACTCTTCTTTTTCTGGAGTTTCGCTTGCTGTCAACAGGAAGGCAAGTTTTCCTGCTTCCATGACAATGGAATGCAGGTAACTGCTTTATGAAGTTCGAGCTTGCTTCTTCCAACAGGGAAGATGAGTCATTTTTCCTGCTTCTAGGATGGTGGAGAGCAGTCTACAGCCTGAGACCAATCACTATCACTAGGTAAGAAACTGGTTTGGGATTGTATCTTGCAATTTCCTTTTAAACGACTAAAATAAGCATTTAACCAGCTGGTGTTAATTTCTGCTTACACTTAGAGTGCTCAGAAATCATATAATTTGGGTCTTCCTGCCTTTGCTTCAAGTTGTCCCGCCTTTCCAGACTGAACAAATGTACTTCTTACATACATTAATTGACGTCTTGTGACAACGTTGGGCACCGTCAGGTCTTCCTGAGGCTGTGTCCCGGGTGCATCCTCAACCTTGGCAAAATAAACTTTCTAAATTAACTGAGACCTGTCTCAGATTTTCTGTGTTCACAGGACTGATTTTTTTTTTTTAAACTGGGAATTTTAAGCATCAACATGTTCAAGATTTAAAAAATCATATCTGGATATAATTGCATAAAATATGAGACATAAGACCATAAGGCCATGAAGGAAGCATGCCCAAATACTAATCAAATTTCTGTTAAGTTAGAAACAGTAGAATGAAGAACTAATAGTGTTTACTCTGTGCCAGCAACTGTTCCAGGAGGTTTGCAAGCAATAGGTTGTGTAATTCATTGCAGCAATTTACCTAGGTAGGTATTATTATAACACCCATGAACAGATGAGGAAATTGAGGCACAGAGAAGACGAGCAACTTGGATGGAGCCCAGGAAACTGGCCCAAGGTTCCTGCTTTACACACTGCTACCTCCACAAAGTCTTGGGGGCTCTCTTTTTTCCTCTTTAGAAATAAGAGCCTGGGCCAGGTGCCGTGGCTCACGCCTGTAATCCAAGCACTTTGGGAGGCCGAGGCAGGTGGATCACCTGAGGTCAGAAGTTCGAGAGCAGCTTGACCAACTTGGAGAAACCCCATCTCTACTAAAAATTCAAAAATTAACTGCGTATGATAGCGCATGCCTGTAATTTCAGCTGCTTTGGAGGCTGAGGCAGGAGAATTGCTTGAACCCAGGAGGTGGAGGTTGTGGTGAGTCGAGATTGGGCCATTGCAGTCCAGCCTGGGCAACAAAAACAAAACTCCATCTCAAAAAAAGAAAAAGAGAGAAATAACAGCCTGTGGCCCAGAAAGCAGGACTTTCCTCTCACCAGGGTACTCCCTGCTCTTGATGCTGTCACTTATGGATACCACAATTTCTATTAGGTGCAGACTCCTCTTTAAGCTACTTGGAGTTGGTACTGTGTGCTATCACCACGTTTCCACCAGGGTTCTCAGCATGGAACTTTGCCTATCAGGCCTCAACAGCCTGAAATGAATGGAAATTCATTAGTCCCAGATATGTAAAGCCACAGATTAGATGCTATTTGTCTGCAGGATCTTATATGGTACAGAAAGAATTCTCATAAACACAATTTAGCCTCTTGCTGAGAAAAACAGGTGGTTCTGTTCCTATGTCAGACACCAATAACTGGTATTTTAACTCTAGTTCCACCCCATGCCAAATTACAAACATGGAAAAGCTGCTGAATACTTTGTGCCTCTGTTTTCCATCTTTAAGAAAATGATGGGCCGGGCGCGGTGGCTCAAGCCTGTAATCCCAGCACTTTGGGAGGCCGAGACGGGCGGATCACGAGGTCAGGAGATCGAGACCATCCTGGCTAACACAGTGAAACCCCGTCTCTACTAAAAAATACAAAAAACTAGCCGGGCGAGGTGGCGGGCGCCTGTAGTCCCAGCTACTCGGGAGGCTGAGGCAGGAGAATAGCGTGAACCCGGGAGGCGGAGCTTGCAGTGAGCCGAGATCCGGCCACTGCACTCCAGTCTGGGTGACAGAGCGAGACTCCGTCTCCAGAAAAAAAAAAAAAAAAAAAGAAAATGATGTTAAAATACCCTCTTCTTTTTTTCTAGAAGCATGGAAAGGATAAAATTAATTTTGATTAAGAGAGCATTTCACCTCTCAGGGAGAAGATGGGTAATCATTCATCATTTTTGATACAGTGAACCTATAGAACTTAGTGTACTTCTTCAGCTGGTTGCCCAGGGAGTAGCCAGTAGTTTGAGGTATAAGAAATTTCTCTTTGAGGTCTCAGAACTGCTGTTTGCTCTCTGCCAGCTGTAAGCGCAATTCTTGGTTGATTTCTAGGATGTTCATCTCTGCCCTTTCACTCGACAAAAGGCTGGCAGATACAGTCATGCTGACATTTGTGCCAGAAGAGATAGAGCCAGGGACTAGGGAGAAGAAACTCAAACACAAAATGGGTTGAAAACTGGTGAAATCAAATAGGTTTGATCAGGACTGAGGGATGACAATAACTGGAATTGTTATCTTACCGCTGAGAAAACCTTGATCACTCCCCACAGCAGTTTAGAGTCCTTAACCACAAAAACAGGGTCTGAGATGCCGGACATTTGAGCCAAGGCACTGCCTATAGCTCAGACTCTGACAAGAGTGAGGCAGATAGTGGCCAGTGTGCCAGGTAATGGCCTGCAGCTGCAATAACAGAATTAGAAGGAGGGAATGTCATGGAATCTTAGGAGCCCTGCATTACAGTTGCCCAGGCTTTGCTGAAACACAAGGCCCCTTGGTCTTACCTGAGGGTCACCATTGAGGGGGACCATTTGTTCAGCAGTCATTCTCAGTATTTGTGTACTTTTGTGACAACGCCACAGACCCATCTCTTTCCCAATACATCTAAGCATATTCCTCATTGTTCGTTTCTTGTGTGTACCAGTCAGAAACAGTTTCCCAATGGGTTATATTTTCTTAATGGTAGTCATGAAGTCACCACACCTTCTCTTTCAGTTAAAACAGATCTGAAGGCTTTTCCACAAGTGAAAGATATCAAACTGTTAGACTGCCGTGATATTCTCACGGTCTTCTGCAGTTTTTTTCTGTATCCACTAAAAAGTGAATGAATAATTCATTTTTAAAAAATGTTTTCTTTCCTGTCTCAGTATTCTTCTTGCTGCATCTCATCGTCAGGTTGATTTCTATTCTCTTACTGGATTGGAATTTTGGCTTTCCATTGCACTTAAGACAAGTTTGACATCATTATCTTCAAAGTTTTTCTTCCATGCGTGGGTTGATTTGTTTTCTAATGTCAGTGAACACTACATTTTATACTTGTCACTTATCGATGTCATTCTAGTCCCACAAGAGCTCTTGTCAAGGTATCAAGTAATCCAAATTATTTATATATGTATCTCCTGAAAACATGTGTGACCATCTATCTTGGGAAGTTTTGTAAACCTGATGCTATTTTGTTGTTTTCATTCAGTTTTCCCGTGTAATGAACAGAACAGGGTTGTGAGCAGTTCTTATGGAACATCGTTTGACATATATATATTTTCTGAGTTTGTCTAACACCATTGAAGTGTGGTTGCATTCCACTAACAGAACATGGCAAGATCAAAGGGGCAAGACATGGTCAGGGTTGGTTGGTGGTCCTCAGTGTTTCTGTGCAGTAGAAGGTGAGTTTGAGGTGAGAGGAACGAGTAGGAGAGAGTGATCCCCTGAACCACCTACTCACTTTCTCAGCTTTTATCCCCACCTAGGTTTTGTGAGCCTGGGACTGGGGAGATAGTCCCATAGCCCAGGTCTCTTTAGTTTGGCTGCTGGACTTGAGTGATTTGAGGGTGCAGTGAGTGTGACCCTGGGCTACTCAGCATTCATTTGGAAGCGAAGCACAGAGGACTGGCTCAATCTCATTTGAAAGCATACCTCTCAGCAGTCCCCACCATCCTGCAACTATGCTGTGTAAGGACATTGCTTTGAAATGTCTCAATGTAAATAAATTTATTTTCTGGTGTCTATGAGACCTGACATTATATGGCAGGAAAAAAAATTGTAAAATTTCTTTATTTTAAAAATGGTGAAGGTCGGGTGCGATGGCTTACGCCTGTAATTCCAGCACTTTGGGAGGCCGAGGCAGGTGGATCACCTGAGGTCAGGAGTTCAAGACCAGCCTGACCAACACGGAGAAACCCCATATCTACTAAAAAAAATATATATATATACAAAATTAGCCAGGCATGGTGGTACATGCCTGTAATCCCAGCTACTCGGGAGGATGAGGCAGGAGAATTGCTTGAATCCAGGAGGAGGTGGTTGCAGTGAGCTGAGATGGCACCACTGCACTTCAGCCTGGCAACAAGATGTGTTCTTACTTCCCTGAAGTTAGCAGTGATGTCTTAGGACAGGAAGGAATGCTTTCCATTTTTAGAAGGTCTTTTCTTCGTGTCTCAATGCCTGTGGACAACTGTCCTGAACATGAAAGAAATTGCTAAATTTCTGATCTCGTGTTAAAAAAAAAAATTGTGAAACTGCAGGTCACAAAGTTACATGACTTACTTGAGGTCACACAGGGATGAGTTCTGAGCACTGCCAATAAAAGCAATCACAATAATTATTCAATAATTATTCATAGAATTTTTATAATTCAGCAATATTTATATAATTATTCAGTAATTATTCATTGACCAATTCGTATCAGACATTTTGCTTAAAACTGTGCACATATATGGGCATTGTATTTTCATCATAATCCTTAAGGTAATGCTGTTATTTGTAAAAAACAGATAAGAGACCTGAAGAAGAGGGAAAACAAATTATTTATTTGACCATATTTCCATTTTTTTTTTTTGTTTCTGTGATTCTGAAAGAATGAACAGAATGAGTCAAGGGAAGAATATTCATTCCTGTGTCATTTTCCAGGACAGAGGTGTGACCTCCTAGAGTATTGGGACCAAAATTCAGAAGTGTCTGAAGCATGAGACTTGGGTCTTCCCTTGACTGTGTTTAATTTACTCTTCTGTTGAACACCTATGAGTCTTACTAAGATTTTTGCCTTTTTATAACCACAATATATGTTTTATGAAGAGGATTTTACTATTGGTTCTATTTAGAAAGAATACATATAAGCTATTGTTTAAGTTTTATGCACTTCATATTTTTCTGATTTCTGTTTTGAGATTAAATTCTCATGTAAAAAGAAAAATAACTGTTATTACTTTTAAAGAACAAATTACTTATTGGTTTGAGTTTTTGAAGATGAAGCACAAACTTCTGATTTTATCTTTGTTTACCCCCATCGGCGCCACCCATTGTCTCTCAGAATGACCCGGCCTTGCTCCTGCACTTACCCGTGCAGTGTTGAACCATCTCCATGCACTGTCCAATTCACTCAGTGATTTGGGCTCCTCTCAAGGCTCCCTGAAATGGGTACAGGTCTCAGGATGTCGGACACATTTTAGGTGCAAAAGCAACCCATGCTGTAGAGTGGACAGCTGTGTTCTTACTTCCCTGAAGTTAGCAGTGATGTCTTAGGACAGGAAGGAATGCTTTCCATTTTTAGAAATGCCTCTGGACAACTCTCCTGAACATGAAAGAAACTGCTAAATTTCTGATCTCAGGTTAGATAGCTAGAATAGATTTATAAGACCTCCTTACTTTCCCATGTCTGCTGAAGTGTGATTTCTTAGCAGTATGATTCCTTTTCTTATAAGCTGAGCAGCTTAGGAAAGATGTGCCATGTTGCTGTGCAAAAAGAGGTAAACTTAATTTCTACTCAAAGCATGCTTGAAATTGAAACTAGGGGCCGGGGGCGGTGGCTCAAGCCTGTAATCCCAGCACTTTGGAGCGAGACGGTGGATCACGAGTCAGGAGAGAACCTGGTGAACACAGTGAAACCGTCTCTACTAAACAAAAAACTAGCTGGCGAGGGGGGCGCCTGTAGTCCAGCTACTCGGGAGGCTGAGGCAGGGATGGCGTGAACCGGGAGCGGAGCTTGCAGTGAGCTGGATCAGGCCACTGCCTCCAGCCTGGCGACAGAGCGAGACTCCGTCTCAAAAAAAAAAAAAAAAAAAAAAAAAAAAAAAAAGAAACTAGGGCTTCCACTCTTCCAAAGTTGGACTGTCACTGCCTCAGGCATGTGTCCCGAAGGGCTTCTGTCTCTGCTTTACTCAGGACAAAGTTTAAATAGAGCCCAGCAAGCCAGGTGTCCTTTACTTCTAGGTTCCCCCAACAGTTTCTCCTCTGCTTTAGGGACTGCATTGAAAATATTCTTGTTCTGCTGTTGTGTTTTTGGCTTTGGAATGATGTGATGCAGCTCAATGGGTCCTACCCCCAAGTTGACCAGAGTAAGAAACACCTGGGAAAGTCAGTGCAAATACAAGTTCATTGTCCTTCTGGCACGAATTTTGATTCTGTGGGCTCAGGTGGAGCCTGGAATGTGTTTAACATGACTCAGATGTGCAGTCAGTTTGGGGACCCACTGATACCATCGACCTTACAGTTTATGGGATGATTCTTTCTGTTTTGCTGATGAAAAGACCAAGGCACAGAGAGTCTGTAACTTGCCCAAGTTGCCCTTGCTGTAAGCCCTGGAGTCAGATCTGAAGTAGAGCACCCTCTTCCCCATCCCCTTCCCACATTTTCCAATTCAGTTGTGTCAGTTCTTTCCAAGTGGATGTTTCTCTTCCCTTATTTCTACAAACAACAACAACAACAACAACAACAACATCTTTTTGAATTTAATTTGTTTCATCTGATACATTTCATCACAGCATGCTGTCAGCATCATATTCTGGTCACTTACTATGAATGCAAGATGCTTTTTTTTGAGATAGGCTCTCGTTCTGTCCCCCAGACTGGAGTGCAGTGCTGATGATAGCCAACTGCAACCTCAAACTCCTAGGATCAAGTGATCATCTTGCCTCAGCTTTCCAAGGAGCTGGAACTGTAGGCACACATCACCATTCCTGGCTAATTTTTAAAAAATTTTTTATAGAGATGAAATCTTGCTATGTTGCTCAGGGTGATCTAGAACTCCTGGCCTCAAGCAATCCTCTCACCTAGGCCTCCAAAAGGGCTGGGATTACAAGAGTAAGCCACTGAGCCTGGCCCTGAGATGATTTTTTTTTTTTTCCATGAAAATACAGAGCATGGAGATGTGGAAAGACACCTCGCTTTATTATTGTTGTTATTATTTCTAAAGTATAATTCATAAATCAGAAAATTCACCATTTTTAAGCATACCATTCAATGTCTTTTACTATATTCCAAAGGTTTTGCAACCATCACCACCATCTAATTTTAGAATATTTTCATAATGCCAAAAAGCATGCCTGTACTTCCTGCCAGTCACTCTCAAATTCTCCCCTTTTTGCAGTCCCTGACAACCACTAATCTACTTTATCTCCCTATGGATATACTTGTTATGGACAT